TAGATATAATCACAGCTATCGACGTACTCACAACAGGAAAATACCAAAGGTTTCCAAGGGTGATTGAGGTACTGAAATTGTAGATTTATTCTCTTTTGAATATTAATTTGAATATGATTTGTAAAAATACATTTATATAGGAGTCCCTTGCTTCCAAGCCCTTGACAGATAGTGAGGTCAAAGAAGCCCTAGAGGAACTGAATAGTGTAATTGAATTACGAATATTAACCGAAGAGGTGGTTCCTCCAGCCATGAGAAAATACCACGTAGATAATGGAAGGATAACATTTTTTGTCGAAAAGGAATTTGAGGTAAGTGATCGGATTTTTTTTTTTCAATAATGCTTTACGGCGAATTGATGAGTCAACTATTTATTTGACAATTATGAATAAACAGGTGGTATTGACATTAATTGATCAAAAACCAGATTTCCCTTGGCATATAGTGGACCTCAAATTTCTTATTCAATCTGCTAATGATAAGCTCTATAGTGGTAATTATAATTCTGAAAATGTTAATAATTAATTTCATAGCTAATTATAAATTAATTTCTTTGTATCGTTATAGATATTGATTTATCTTTGCATGAAGTACAAAACAATTTTGTTATACAAAATGCCCAAATTAGATTGCTTCCCAAAAATCCACCACTACCGGAACTACCTTTATCGAGAGTTCCAGGAAATACAGAGCAATCTACATTGAAACCTGCAAGATCGCTTCCTTTACTAGAATTGTATGATTTTTTACACACATTTTGCTTGGATATGCAACTTGATATTCTTTATCAGCAGGTAAAGCCTGATTGTAGTTTATTTAGCTACAACTTAACATTCATTTATATAATTATATCTTTTAAATGATTGTTTAATTTTGTAGGCCTGCCGTTTAGCAGGAACAAGATGGGCAAACAATTTATTTTTGGAAACGGATGGAACTCTTCTTGAAGATCCGCGTACTTTTCTTAGGGTTTATTATTGGAGGTTAGTAGTGTACAAATAATTATATTATTCAAAACTTGAAAAATAACGCCATAAAATTTAATCGCTTGTTTACCTTTAGAAGTGTGAAGCCTTCTTCTAATTCATGTACGTAAAATAAATTATATATATTTTTGGAAGAAATAAAGAACTAACTCTAACATGATTTGATTCTAAACAGCATTTAAAAATGACGTAATTGACATAACGATTGCAGAAGAAACAACAAAGCGTTCTTTAATTCATTCGTCAAGATCAATGCTTTCAAAGTCACATTGGCTAACTGACACTTCACGTATCAAACCCGGCGTTTTGAACGATGGGCGTGGGTTAAATTATCCGCACAAATTCTTGCAAGCTCGCTGGATAGGTTCAGCGGACGAAAATGTTACTGAGTGGACAGTTTTGGGTTGGGAATTTGTGAGTTCATTTAATTTATTGTCCATTCGTTTAAATCATCAATGATTCATGACAAAGTCTTGCTTAGCTCGCTCTAATCATCACTGTTGGTCAATATAAAACGTTAATATTTATTACTTTTATCTGGCCACCAGGATCCGACCAATTTGAGTTTTGAACATCTATTACTATCTGTTACGCAGAAACGTGCAGAATCAGTTATCAAGGGTTTTAAGAATGCACTGTCATCACTTGCTAAGAGTGCGTTTTCGGAGGAAGATTTAGAAATTATAGAAGGTTGCCAAGGTTGGTACATTTTATATCATACTTGTTCACTTGGATTCATTATGTTTCTAGACCGGTCAAAAAATTTCATTCTTTATACATGTTCAAAAACATTTCTGAACACGTTTTTTTGAATAATAAAGAATTTCCTGATGATTTTATCTCTGATGACTCACCAATTTCTGACAATGTTGCAAAGAAATTCTTGAAAATTTCGTCGTTACGTGTATGGCTTTTTGGAGATAGATATGTTACTATCAGTGTAGACATTAGAAGCGGTAGAATTATAATTGAAGAAAACAATAAAATTGATGATAAAGGTGAGCTCGTTTTTTCAATAGCATTAATTTTGTATTGCTATATATGTTAGCAATTGTTTTTTAATGTTTAATTGGATTTAGAATTTATTAAGATGTGTGAGGATAAACTCAGCTTTGCACAAAATGACGATAAATCAGTCGTACATACACTTTGTCACCTAAAGTTCAGATCCAGGATTGATCAAATTGAAAAGGCAGCTAAATATTTGCAATTTGACATACATAGTGGTCTGATATTACGTAAAGAAGATCTCAATCAATTAGGTACAAATTATTGCGCGTATCTTCGTTTCCCACAGTACGATAATCACTTTCTAATCTGTGGGATTGTGGATGGTGGTTTGCGTTATTGGCTGACGACCTTGAGGTACTTATGAATTAGTAGTCTTGCATATATTTTCGATGCTCTTGTTAACCGGACTTTTGCAACTGTTTAGTCGAGAACCGCCAGTTAAAAGGTTTATATTAGTTAAAGACGCAAAAGATCCTACCCATAAGCTGTCGTCCATTGAGCCTATATACCTAGAGGAAGAAAGGAATAGCTTTATAGATAAAGCAAGTTTAGAATTGCAAGAAAAAGAAATTCCTCTAACTATGGATGGTGGCGTCCTTTATGGGAAACGAAATTTTGAAGAAATTGATGATAAAGCAGAAGGAACATCACCGAGAAAAAGAAAGCTCGTGCGAGCTAACGCTGGGTATATTATAGCTGGTTTTGTGTAGCCCAATAAAAATGGCAACATTTATTAAATGTGATAATTTATAAAACTTTTATATAGGCTTGAATATGAAATTGTGCATCTTGCCAGGATTTCTGCACTTTGTCGGTAAGTTAAGGTTTTGATTCATTTGGTTCATGAGCATATACTAATCTCATTTAATACAATTATAAATTTCATGCCATGAAGTGCTCGCATATCTTATCTTAGAATGAAAGAACAGATCAAATCGCATGACTTGTCATTTAATATCATACAGCCTGATAAATCCCTCGAATTTATCGATCCTGATTCCTCCATATCTTTAACTTCGTCTATTCCAGTTTTGAAAATGGATAGACAATCAATATTAGCAAAAATGCCAATAGCAATTGATAAGGCTTTGAATGTTTTTGGAGACATTTATATTCGATTCGTTGGCTCTCGTTTATTAACAACTACAGCGTGTTCGGTATATACTATTATCAATTTCATTCTTCAGTTATCTTGAGTGATGCCAAAACCGAACCTCTGAGGTTAAACTTGTCATATTATTTAAAGTTTCTTTTGGTGTCACTCATTATTTAATTATTTATTTACTTATTCTTGTCAAATTTGTACAGGTAATAATGACAACACGCATAAAACCAAATAGCCTGCCAACAATAAACAATGCCGATTTATTAGGTTAGTATATTTATTTTAATACAGCTTTTTATTAAAAGATAAATGTTATCACAAGTGTTTCTATCCTTTGGTAATAGGCAAATTATATATATATATGTCCTTAGTTACTAAGGCAAAGAAATACTCTGCTAACGGAATCTGTTTTTTCTTAATACATATAGCTATTAACTTAATATTTTCATTTTGAATGTATTAGACAACATTAGATATGATCCCGTTTCTCAGGTTATATCTTTTAAATACGATGCTGAAGATTCCTATATCAAAATTTTCCTTCGAGATTGGAGTAGCATAGTAATGATTTGTCAAGCTGCTTCTCAAGGTAATCAATTTGTTGCCCGTAGGTTTTCTAGACAAATTTACTAAATTTTCTTATATATAATGATAAAGTGAGCATACCATCATGGGCGGATACCTCCATTAAAGTTGCGCCCTTTAATTTTCAGACCGTTAAAGTCATATATTCACAGGTTGTATTTTGAGAAAATCAAACTTCATATAGCCTACATCAGTATATCATGGTACTAGTTGATACCATGCAATACATACTCATGGTGTAGTGCTGTTCCATATCGAATTTAAGTGTAACAAATATTAAATCGATTATCCATTATTTTTTTAGGACTTATTTTTCGATATCAGTTGTAAGTCTGACCGATATTCGTTACAATTTGGTACTACTAATACAACAAAGAGTCGGAATCCACATCAAAGGATAAGTATATATCTTCAAAATACTTTGAACTGCGAATGTAACGTCGGATCTTTAATCACTGTAAGTTTTTATACTTAAAATTGTATTATTAAACATTTCATATTA